GAAGCAGTCTTACCACCCAGGCCGCTCAGTGCCAGATATCTTGCCTGGCTGGTTCCTCCCCCAGAACCCCTAACACCAGGTTCCCCTCCATGACCGCCTAACAGTGCTGTGTCTGCTGGTGCTCCTTCTGGTCCTCCTCTGTTGGAACTGAACTGATACCTCCAGTCCAACTCCTGAAGCCCCGATCTCGCCAAAACCTATGTGACGTCTTTCTCTTTGCAAGATCTGCATCTGCAGCCCTTTGTAACTGCTGTGCTCACATCCTGTGCTTGTTCACCCTGGAGTGCTCACCTCCTCGTGACTCCCTCAGAGCTCTCTAAGGATGGGGACAGCCTAGCCTACTTCATCCCTGTGTCCCCGATGTGTGAGGCACAGAGTTGCGTATGTTGTATGTGCCCAGTTGTATTTGTTGAAGTAAAATGTGGTTGGTTTGGCAAACGTTTGCCGAGTTGCTCTCCTAGAAGAAGGTTCTCCCACCCATGTAGGAAGGTAGTGGGCCTGCCCCCCGCCCCCCTGACACTGGCATTCCCAGGCTGAGAGCCCTGATGTTCGTACAACCGTGTAGCCAGCAACACTCTTCAGAAAAGTCGAGGCTGAAGTAAAGTGGGAACTGTCAGTATTTGAGTGAAATGGGCTGTTCTCTAAAATATTTGTTTAATAGTTGAGTAAATGTTGGGAGGAAATATGTAATGTACAACCTTTTGGAAGTGTTTGGCAGTGATTATAGTACCACAAATTGCACATCACCTTTGACCCAGTATTTCTGTTGCTGTATGGTTGCCTATGTTCAGGAATGTTCACTGCAGGTTGTTCATAATAGCAGCACATCAGGAGCGCCTGGGTGGCTCAGTCAGTTGAGCATCTGACTCGATTTCGGTTCAGGTCATGATTTGTGCTCCGCAGGGAGTCTACTTGGGATTCTCCCTCTCCCTCTGCCCCTCCTGCATTCATGCTCACACGCTCTCGCTTGCTTGCTATCTCTTGTAAAAAAATCTTTTTTAAAAATAGCAACACATCAAACAAGCCTAAGAACTGGTTATATAAATTAAGGTAAACCATCCAGTGGAGTGCCATATGCAGCCTTCAGAATAATAAAGTGGACCTGTATATGCCCGTGTTGATCTGATGGAGACAGAGAGAGAGAGGGAACGTAAGCAGGGGGAGCAGGAGAGGGAGAAGCAGGCTTCCCGCCAAGCAGGGAGCCCGATGCGGGCTCGATCCCAGGACCCTGGGACCATGACCTGAGCTGAAGGCAGACGCTTAACGACTGAGCCACCCAGGCGCCCCCAAGATGAAGCTGTTGATTCATTTGCATGTGTGACACGGTTTGTGTGGAGGGAGAAAGAAGACATGTTTTCTTTACATGCATTTGCCATTTCTGGATGTCTTCTACACTCTCACAGAGCTCCAGAAGAGAGCGTCTGCCTCTGGGTATTTGCAGTCAGAGGATCTGGTCCTTATTCTTTGCACTTTAAAGCCCCATGTTTTAGTCTTTTCTGAGGGCACCTGCTGTTATAATATGGAAAGGGGCGCCTGGGTGGCTCAGTTGGTTGGGCTCCTGCCTTCGGCTCGGGTCACAATCCCAGAGTCCTAGGATCGAGCCCCGTGTCAAGCTCCCAGCTTCGCAGGAAGCCTGTTTCTCCCTCTCCCACTCCCCCTGCTTGTGTTCCCTCTTGCTTACTGTCTCTCTCTCTGTGTCAAATAAATAAATAAAATCTGCTGTAATATGGATGAAAGTCTTTCTCTGCTCCCCTATGTCTGTCACTGACCACAGCATTGGGCAGGTATAGTTTAGTGTTAGAGTCTTATACTTTAGAGCATGTGCCACTATATATAAATGTCACAAATTAACCAAATCCAAATGGAACCATTTTGAACAGTTATTTTTTTAATTCAATTTATTTTTTTTATAAACATATAATGTATTATTAGCCCCAGGGGTACAGGTCTGTGAATCGCCAGGTTTACACACTTCACAGCACTCACCATAGCACATACCCTCCCCAATGTCCATAACCCCACCACCCTCTCCCTACCCCCTCGCCCCAGTTGAACAGTTATTTTATATTACTTTTTGTTTAGATTTTAAATTGAGATATGATTCTCATACTATAAAATTCATCTCTTTCAAGTGTCTGGTTCAGCAGTGGGTTGTAGGCTATGCACCCTCCCCCTTTATCCAGTCCCCAAACACCTCCATGCCCTCAGCAGGAGACCCCATGCACATTAGTACACGCTCCCCTTCCCCTGGCCTGGCAGCCACGAATCTGCTTTCTATCGCTATAGATTTGCCTATTCTGGACATTTCATGTTCAGACCATCTGCTTATGCTGCTTGGTCCTCCCCTGTGAATATAAGGTAGAGGAAGTCTGGTGTCTGGTTCCTGCAGCCCAAGCACTGCAGGCGTCTTTCCCTCCTTCCCTGAAGGCTCATTCTCCAGCCCGCAGCCTAGATCGGGAATGGGCTGTGCGTGTGACGAGATGCAGGGATGCTGGGTAGGATTGTCAGAGGCCCTCAGTGGCCCACTGCAGAGATGGCCACGTTGGCATCTGCCTCACGGGAAAGTCCGGACAGACCTGCTGGCCGTGGGCTGCCCTCTGCCCGTCAGCACGGGGCTGCTCTGATGTTTTCTTTGAGGTACCCGGGATACAGTTTGCATCTGTTCACTTGTCTTAAGTAACGTACAAAAACAAAAGTTCCCAAGCTGTATTCATTACTTTTATCCAGAGTATGGCATGTTATAGGTAAATAAATATTTATTATTGGTCATTAGTTTGATCCAAAGTTGATTGTCTGTCAGGTTTGAAATAGGAATTTACCTTTAAAGAATCAAATATTTCTCTTTTGGGGGGGAAGATTTTATTTATTTGAGAGAGACTGAGAGAGAGGGAGCACAAGTGGTGGGGAGAGGCAGAGGGAGAAGCAGACTCCCTGCTGAGCAGGGAGCCTGACGTGGGACAGTGCGGTCATGATCTGAGCTGAAGGCAGATGCTTAACTGAGCCACCCAGGCGCCCCAGCAATCAGATATTTCTCATTAAAAACTGTTTATTGAACACATAGCTTTCCTACACACTATTGGCTAAGATACTAAACCAAAGTCATAAGTAGTTTATAATCTAAGAAGAGATTTTCAAGGCTGGAAGCTCTAAGACCAGATCTACAAGCTAAAGAGTGTTCCTGTCATAGAGACACAGCTTGGTACTAGTGGCTCGGATGTCACCCTTCCCTCCGTTAGCGAATGTGCACTGGGGACCTTCTGCACATCGGGCACTATTCTGGGTACCTGGGGTTTGTCTGTCAACAAAACCCATGTCTCCAGGGAGCTTACGTTCTGCCTGAGGAGAGAGACAATTAACAAGAAGCTGTAGAGTTAGAGGGTGGGAAGTGCCATAGAAAAAACACAGTAGGGCAAAGCAGGCCTGGTGAGTGGGGTTAGCCAGGGTGAGCCTCCTTGAGAAGGGGGCGGTGAACCCAGAGCATCTGCAGAAGGTAAGACAGGCAGATAGACAAGGTAAGCAGCAGGCACCTCACTGCTCGGCGTCTTAATGAATAAGATTCTGGTCAGCAAATTGGTGCACAAAGGGCTGCTAGCCTTCTGAGGCCATTTCGAAAGCTTTTTTTGTTTTCATAAATGGATTTTGCAGGAAGCTCCCACTCTTTGCCACACTGATGTTCTATTTTATTAAAACCAGCCTGAGAGTGGCTAGAACACCAGTTCATTTATTTGTTAGATGTTGAGCTGCTGGCGTTCTGCGCAGCCCTAGTCAAGAGACGTTCATTCCTACAGTCTCATAAAGAGGCAGAACAAGGCCCTAGAGGGTGGGCTCTGCACCCAGCATGCCGTGGCCTGGGGTGAGGGTCTGCCTCGCCCCCGCTGGTCATTCCGAGGGCGCCGGCCAGGCCCCAGACCAGCCCACGGCAGCCTTGCACTGGGAAGAAAAGGGAACGGAATGAGGCACAGACGCTCGCGGCCTTGTGAGAAGAAGGAATTTAGTCCTTATTTTTGTAATTAGCAGGAATAAGTGGATTGAGCGAGAAACACTGTAGTTTTGAGAGACCTGGTGAGCTCTGAGAGAAGTTCCTCTGCAGGTTCGCCAGATGTGCTGCTGTGCACGTCAGCTGGAGGCCCGTGCAGCCTGCGGTCGCTCTGGCTCCTGTCTAGGAGCTGCTCATTTGGCCTGTTGCTGGGAACTTGCAGGTGGGAGCCAGCCATCTGCGCACTTGTCGCCATGTGCAGGAGGACGGCTGCTCTTGTGGGCACAGGAGACCTGTTCAGTCCCGGCGTGCCCTCCACCAGCTCCATCCCGGGCACGAGAGGGGCCTGCCTGCTGTAGATGCCAGCGGGTGCACCCTGAGGCCCTGTGGTGCACGGCGTGGGGTCCCGCCGTGGCGGTGGCGGGGGGGGGTGAGGTGGGGTCAGGCCGGCCGCGGGCGCCAAGAGCAGGTGCCAATCACAGCGCACCCAGATTGGAGTGTCGTGGGCACACTTGTGGGGTCTCGGCAGGGGCAGGAATCACATGAGTCTGCAGACACCATCCAAACTGTGCCCGCTGTGGTTGGAGTGAGTGACACCATGTGGCAGGCCACCCCTGAGTCACATCACGGGGCTATTACTGGCAGTGGGGAGAACCAAGAAATAAAACTGGCTGAGAACGACTGTTGCTTTGCCCAAAATATCAGAATGATGTGCAGAACTTTTAAGTTACAGCCAAGTATTACCTGTAGTTCAAGGAACCTTAATGACACAACCAGTACCTTTTAGAGGTTTTTTGCCCAGTAACGTCAACAGTCACGTTCGGCCGATGTCGAAAGGGGAGATGCCCATTTGCTCATGTCTTGTTCCCATCATGCAGTGAGGTCAGGAGGGTTCTCGCGCGCTACTTAAACTGAAAAACCCCACGGCGCTCCGGCACTTTTCCATCCCGAAAGCTGTGTTTCTTCTCCTTGCACAGGATGACGGTTTAGTGTTTCACTCAGGACCATTGTTTTCCCCCCACAGAATTTCTCTTCCCTAAAATGGAGCCAAGTAAGAAGCTGGACCCCCCCGGCCCCCTGCCGCCCAACCCCCCGCTGAAGCTGCACCCCGACCGCGGCGCCGCCAGCACGTCCATCTTCGTCCCTGAGCAAGGAGGCTACAAAGAAAGGTTTGTGAAGACCGTGGAGGACAAGTACAAGTGCGAGAAGTGCCGCCTGGTGCTGTGTAACCCGAAGCAGACCGAGTGCGGACACCGGTTCTGCGAGACCTGCATGGCTGCCTTGCTGAGGTAGGCCTGTGGCCCAGCGGCTTCCCCGCCTCCCGCCCGCTGCCGCGTCTCTAAGCAGTGCCTTCTAAAGCTTAAATGTCTTGAGACCCTCAGATGAAATTCTCGGACCTCGCCTGTGAATTACTTAGGGAAACTCAGTCGAACCTCATCCCTGAATTGTCCAGCGTTCTGGGACTCGCAGCCTGGCCTGCCCAGCCCCATCCCACAGATTTCTGTCTCCTCCCCGCCAAGCACCTCCCGATGTGCTTGCCAAGCACCTGGTCCTGTGCCACAGTGTCCCCTCTCCGTGCAGATGGTGGGGAGCCCTGAAAGTGCAGGTGCTCCTGGGAGGCAGAGGCTGAGGAGGACAGGTCAGCAGGAGGACTGGACAGGTCCCCACCTGGGTAGGAATCTGGTGTGTGCATGCTTACTCAGCAGTCAGGAAAGCACACACTGGCGCCTTGGAAGCCCTTGTCGGCTAAGCATCGGTGCCACCTTAAGAGTCACAGAGGGCGTCAGGGAGGCAGGCCGGAGTTTGACGGCACAAACAGCATTGTCCAAGAAAGCGTCTTAGTTCCTCCCCAGGTATTTTCTGGGCATGGTGCTGGGCACTGGGAGTCATGGCAGGATGCTGTCAGACTTGGTCCCCAGGGTCAGGCGCAGGGGCCTGGGAAGGCTGCCCACTTCTCCTGACTCACCACTGAGGGCATGGCCCTTGATAATGGCACTGCAGGCATCCTCCCTCCCTGTCATCCTCCCCCAGGTCCTTCCAGCTGTAGTCTTATCCACTTATCCAAACAGTGAGCTTAGCTTTCCCTGCCTTGTGGCTAAAATGACTCTTGCGTCAAGCTTAGTGATGGCCAAGCAGACTCAGAGCACCTGCGGTTTCCTACGTGCAAACCTGGACTGCGTGCTGGGCTGGGGGAGGCCTGCTGGCCACGGGGCTGGGGTGGGGCTGGTACCCAGAGCTCCTCTGATTTTCCTCCTTGTTCTGTACTTGGCTCTCCTCCTGCTCCGTGTTTTGCTGGCATCAGGGGGTCCCACCCAAATGCCACTCACCCCAGGGTCTAAGGATGTAAAAAGAGTCTTCTGATTAAGGCAGTTTAGCACAAGCTTCATATTATAGTCTAAATGAAAGCTTTTATTTAGAAACACATTAATTTTGTCTCTCATCAGCCCTTAGTTCTCCTGCCCAGCTTCCCAGGCCTGTGAAGCTTTCCCAGTCTGCCCAGGTCTCTGGTGGACACGTGTCCAACCCCGTGTTCACCTCCCCAAAGCCTCCGCCGACCTTCCTGTCCTGGACTCCTGGAGCCCTTGGCTGTCTAGGGCAAGGGCCATGGAAGTAGAGAGGGCTCAAACTTTGTTTTATTTTTAATCTCTAGGAGGTGATTTCCGGCACGAGATGGGGTTAGAATCAAGTTCCAAAAAAGGACAGCTTGGGAGCAGAGGCTCTTGTCCTGTGTTTGGGGGCAAGAATGATGTGGTGGACAGTGACTTCCTTAGACAGGGCCAGTGTTAAATTCTCCAGTTAACCGTGGAATTGCATTGGCTTTTCAGTATATTGTGACAGAAAATAACTTCTGGAGAAAGTACTAGCTGTTTTTAGAAAGCAAGACTGCCTCTAGGCCCTCCTAATCAGCTGGGGACGCTCACACCACAGAGCCGCTCACGGAGGGCTAGTTTTGGTTTCTGAAATAAAATCTCACTTTTAATGGAAAGGGGCTTTCCAAGTGGGACTGATGTCAGCTGTGCTGCTTAAAAACTTCCTTGGGAAAAATTACCATTTAAAAAATTGAGCCCTTTTCTCCTGTGGCTTCATATTTGAAACCCAGCTCGCCGCGGCATCCCAGACCTCTGGTTGCGGCCGTGAACTTCGCACACCAGGTTGACCATAAAGGTTCAAGTGAGAACAGGACTTCCGCTCTATCTAATGTCTTCGTGGTGTGTTTTCCCCTCAGCTCCTCAAGCCCAAAATGTACTGCGTGTCAAGAAGGCATCATTAAAGATAAGGTATTCTTGGGATTTTAATAAATGACCTTTTCAAATGCTTCGGTCCTGCTTGGCCCATGGTTTGCACCTGGTGCTCTGGGCATGCTCTGGTGGTGTCTTGGGGCTTGAGCTTGGGTGCTGCAGGGTTGAGGCAGGACAGCTGCCCAGCTGGGTGACCCTGGCCAGGACCTTCAGCTCCTGAACCTGTGTCCTTGCCTGTGACAATAGCGGCCCCACCTCGGGAGGGCTGTGGGGGTGAAATGTGGAGATGCAGGCCATCCTCTCAGGCTTCGCCCCCAGACAGCTGGCATCCGGCCAGTCTCAGGAGTTCAGCGGGATTGGCTTTCTGTCTGCCCCTGTGCAGCACCTCCCACTCATTAGACAGATGTGGGATTTCCACCCTCCCCCTGCCATGTGATTACGTGTACCTGTGAGCGCTCCTGGTAGGGCAGAGTCTCAGAGGGGGCCTCAGGGGGCCGCCCACCAGCTTCCGTCCTGGGGCTCTGATCCCCACACCCCTTCCCCCACTCCCCGCACCGGAACAGCACCTCTGGTCATCTACGCATTGGCAAACCCCGCTAGGCACGCTTTGAGTTTGAAATGAGTCATTCTTAAAGTACTTAAAATATCAATAAAAACGTGTGGTACCAATATTTTGATTGATGAACACAACAATTTTTCTAAATGTAGGTCATTAAATTGTGCAATAAAATTCCTGCTCTATGGTTTTGTGTCCAGAGCACTTTTCAGATTGGGTTTGCGGTCAGGGCGGTGCAGGCAAATGCAGGGATTTGGGGGTTCCGGCAGAGGAGGCCCCTCTGCTGCCTGAACAAGGGCTCCTCGTGTAACTCCTCTAGGCAGCTTAGAGATGGAGCTGGCACCATACACGTCCCTCGTCTTCCCCGGGTTTACCGCTGCTGCAGGCTGCACTCTGTCAAAGGGAGGGGCTTGTTTCTGAGAAAACAGGTCACCCAGCTACCCCTGATCTTAGCATGGCCACTAACTTATTAATGTGTGTCTGACCCCCGTGATCGAGGTAGAGGTTCAAACAACGGACCTGGTCTGTCTCACTGTTCAGAATTATAATCCCTATTTTTCAATGGCATTAGTAAGTGGAGAAGAATTACTAGTTTTGTTGGAGCATCGTGAATGACAGCAACTAATGCCTTGAATCCTCATGGGAAAAGGGGGCTTGAGACCAGGATCTGTCCGCTGGTCACTGTCAGGCCTCAGGCTCCTCATCTATGTAATGGGACAGTTGTAGTAAATCATCTCAGCTCTAAATTCTGTACTTTAACTGTTTTGACTTTGCCAATCTTTGCTTCGTATCCATAAAGTTAAACTCAAATGACTTAAGAAACTTAATGCCACAAAAAAGAAGTTTGTTTCCCACTGGCTAAAAATACCTGTTTGGTGACTTTAGTATGTTTTTAAAAAGGTCATGTTTATGAAGGATTAGATTTGACTCCAAATTACTTTATTTTTAACTCTTAACAGCTGTTGATTCTATTTCTTTGCCTGTGGAGTTGAGAAAGGCATATTAAGATCCTGTCTATTTTTTCACTGTTACAGAGTGTTAACATATAGGAGTTTCTTAGAAATGCCGAAGACGAAGATGGTCTAGACTGTGTTGCTGGAAAGAATGAACCTCCTTGTTTTCTAAGGGGAAAATATAAAGAAAGAAAGAAAGGTTTTCATTTTCAAAGGGAAACATTTTTTTTTAATTTTTTAAAGATTTTATTTGAGTAGGGGGAGGGACAGAGGGACAAGCAGGCTCCCCACTGAGCAGGGAGCCCAACGCGGGGCACAATCATAGGACTGTAGGATCATGACCTGAGCCAAAGGCACTTAACAGACTGAGCCACCCAGGCGCCCCCAAAGGGAAAGATTTTCATTATTGGATTAACTTCAGTCACTGCACTATTTATTTAAAAAAGGGGAGTTTTTTTTAGTAGCAGGCTAATACTGCCTCCTTTTTGGTGAAAATGATTTATGAGGGACATAACCTTAGGAGAAAGGACTAAAATGTTTTACAAACCTTCTGCAAGATACGATCTTCTACAGTAGTTTTGTATTTCTTTACCAAGTGACCTACACAGGCATTGAGTGATAGTGGGTTCTGCCCTTGTCCCTTGGCAGGTGTAGTCCACCCATGGCTGCCCCACAGAGCTGGCTCCTGGAAGTCCCCAGAGTCCAAATACGAACCTGGTCCTGGTGCGTCCCCACCTTGAGATCATGTCAGAGTTGACTCAGAGTATTTGGATGCTCTAAAGTGATCTTTAATTATTTTGTATAACTTGTTTTCATTTGGCTTATCTAATAAAAGATGGTAGTTAAGGTTGTATTATTTAAATTGTGACTCTTAGTGGGAACATCTCCTTCATTCTACTTTAGAAATTAGAAATTAAGATGGTCCTTAATGCCTTCTGAGGTCCACTTAAGGGATGCTCTCCTGATTTTTTAAAAGTGGTTTTGCCTTCTCTGAAGTAGCAGCATGTGGAGATTAAGCAGTATTAATCCTCTGAAATGACCGTCTGCCCGTTTCAGGTGTTTAAGGATAACTGCTGCAAGAGAGAGATTCTCGCTCTTCAGATCCACTGCAGGAATGAAGGGGAAGGCTGCCCGGAGCAGTTGACGCTGGGACACCTGCTGGTGAGTCCTGGGGGTGGTGCTTGGTGCTTCCATTAAGAAATAGAACTCCTTGGGGCGCCTGGGTGGCTCAGTCGGTTTCGCATCAGACTCCTGATTGCAGCTCGGGTCACAGTCTCGGGGTGAGATCGAGCACCTGCCCCCCACTTGGCTCCGTGCTTAGCGGGGAATCTGCTTGAGATTCTCTTTCTCCCTCTGCTCCTCCCCCGATGTGCACACACTCATGCTTTCTCTCTCTCAAATAAATAAATCCTTTAAAAAAAAAGAGATGTAACAGCCTGATCAGTGTGATGTGGTACCCTAAGACCATGGTTACGCTGATTTTCAAAACACAGCCAAACATGAAAGCATTCCAAGCCACTGAGGTATGAAATGTTATTTTTATGACATCATTGGCAGAATTGCCAACTGGTTTTTAAACACCCCCACCCTATTTAGGATGGAAAGAAATCTGAACCAGTTTTTAATTTTGGAAGGCCCAGTAAAACCTTCTGTATGTTTTTTTTTAAACCATGAAATTCCACATAACTTTTATGGCTTGGTTTTTGTTTTTTTGGTTTTTTTTTTTTTTTAATTAACATCTTATTTTATCCTGGAAGGATACTCAAACTGGAGTAAAACAGATTCCTTAGCCGATAACCTGATACCCAGGAAGGAGAGTTGGCTTACTCCTTCAAAAGCAGTGTAGTTTGGGTAATCACTAAATAGAAGACAAAACTCATTGTCTCTCAATACATTTGTCACTCTTCTCTGTGAAAAACTGGTCTAGCGGCAAGCAGAAATGTTTCTGGAGGCTAGAATCTGTATTTCAGATTAAACTTCTTTGCCAGTTAAGAACCTTGAAATGTTTGTTTTACAGGTGCATTTAAAGAACGATTGCCAGTTTGAAGAGCTTTCGTGCATCCGTGCTGACTGCAAAGAAAAAGTGTTGAGAAGAGACTTGCGTGACCACGTGGAAAAGGCCTGCAAGTACCGGGAGGCCACGTGCAGCCACTGCAAGAGTCAGGTTCCACTGATCACCCTACAGGTGCGCCGCCCCTCCACCTGCAGCTCTGTCCAAGTATAATTGTGTCACAGAATAGCATTTTAAAGCACTATTCTAACAGGAATAAAGAGAAAAGAGAGGAGGAAATGGCAGTTTTCATCTGGCTTTAATTCAAAGTTAAGCTTTATTTGTTGTGCCCATTTTGATTTGTATAATTAACATTTTCCCATTCCCTTGATTGACTATCATTTGGAATGCCAAAAAAAAAAAAAAATGAAGACTAATTATCAAAAAAAGGTAGAATTTTTCTCTTGTCCCAGGGAATGTCCTCAAAATCTTGTTGGATTGCTTGATCTTTTAAGCAGCTCTGGGACATAATCACCACTTCAACAGGATAATTCATCCTGCAGCATCGAAGTGCAGCTGTCTGTCTTGGAGAGAGATGAGAATTTCACATTTTTCATGCCTTGATTATTTTGGCACAGTTCTATATTGTGTGTGTGTGTGTGTGTGTGTGTTAGAGATCAGATCCCTTATCTGTAAGTTAGAGATATTGGGGGTGGAGGACAGACTTTAAAAACCAATCAGTATTACAGTAACCCCAAATATTTGTCCATTTCTTGCACAAATATTCACTGAGTACCTACTGTGTGCTGGGCACTGTTCTGGGAGCTGTGGGTTCAGTGGTGACGCTCAGCTTCTAGCAGGAACAAGTAATTAACAGGCAAATGTAATGTGGGGTAGTGATTTGTACTATGAAGAAAAATGCACTAGCATCATGGGAAAAGAGGTGGTCAGGGCTGGCCTCTTCAAGGCAGTCAGGGCCCAGTGTGGGACCAGTGCCCAGAGCAGAGGGAACAGCTAGGGGTGCACAGGCTCTGAGATGGGATTGATTGGGCAGGTGGATTTCAGGAACTGTGAGAGGCAGTGCAGAGGTGATGGGTAGCAGGGGAGTGGGTGGGGGTAGGCGCTGGGCAGCCTTGAGCAAGGGGTTGATGTCAGAGTTCCCCATCAGGTGCAGCACTCTGGCAGGTGTCACACGTAGACATGGGATAAGAGGAGAATATAGAGGCAAGGCAGTGTTGGTCGGTGTAGGAAGGGGGCAGGAGGACCAGGTGCACTGGGACACATTGGGAAGGTAGAGGCAGTGGGATTAGCCCATGGCTTAAATATGGAGTATGTGTTAAGGACGACGCGCGGTGTCTATAGCTCGATCAGCTGGATGAACTCTTGAGGTGGGGCTCACTGGAGCATAGCAGGCTTGAGGGGAGAATAGGGCAGTGGTCTGGGCTACTGGTGCATCTTAGGTGGTCCCTGTAGCCTTGGGGACAGAGGCCTGGGGCACACGAATGCTTACAGACTGCTACGAGCGAGGTCGTCTAGCAGTGGCCAGTGTGGAAGGGTCAGCAGAGTGGAGCTCCAGTGCCAGCAGGAGCTGGAGAGGGTTTGTGTGTGGGCAGGAGGGGCAGACGTTGCTGAGAGGCTGGGGGGCTGCTGGGGATGGCATCTGCACTTGGCAGGACCATCATTGTTGGGACCAAGACGGGAGAGGACCAGAGACATGCTGCCAGGGTGTCGGGCCAGGTGGTTCCTGGGGGATGTTCTACCACATTTATTGACCAAAATTTGGGACAGTTTTTTTTTTTTAATGAAATGAAAAGTCCTCTGTTTCATAATCCACATGTTTATTACCTTTGTGCAACTTTCCTGTTCCTGCGATTTTCTTCTCTTGTGAAGTCTTCTTCCTGTCTGATTTCTGTAGACGTTCCCAGCTATTAAGGACTTTCAGGAGCCGTGGAAAATAGAAATAGGGTTTGGCCTAATTGAATAATTCCTTCAGTGACTCAGTTCAGATGAATGAGACGTGTACTTAATGAGTAACGTGGTAATACGTACACATTTTGGTATGTTGCTGTCAAAGTTATACTTCGCTTCTTGCAAAAACCAGTTATTTTTATTTGCAGAATAGAATCCAGAAATTAATTTTATTCAAGAAAGACTTGCAGAGTGTGTCAGTTAGACACTGTATAAGTAACTGACTCTGAACACCAGACTAGGCTGTAAAGAGACTGGTTTTATTATTATATTTTTACTTTTTAAAGATTTTAGTTCTTTATTTGACAGAGAGAGACACAGCGAGAGAGGGAACACAAGCAGGGGCAGTGGGAGAGGGAGAAGCAGCTTCCCGTTGAGCAGGGAGCACGATGTGGGTCTCAATCCCAGGACCCTGGCATCATGACCTGAGCTGAAGGCAAAGACTTAACAACTGAGCCACCCAGGTGCCCCTAGAGACTGGTTTTAAAGTAACAAGTATGGACTCTGAAAAACAATCTGAGGGTTTTGAAGGGGCGGGGTGGGGTGGGAGGTTGGGGGAGCCAGGTGGTGGGTATTAAGGAGGGCACGTATTGCATGGAGCACTGGGTGTGGTTCAAAAACAATGAATTCTGTTATGCTGAAAAGAAGAAAAATAAAAGTAACATGTAGGGATTCACCTGCCCCAGGTCACCGTGGTGACCCCTTCCTGACAGCAGGCCTGGGATGGGGCTCCCGAGTCTTCCTGTTGGCTAGGAACACACTCAGTCTCATCTCTGTCCCGCAGTGGGCTTCTTTGTAGGAAGAGCAGGTAACTCAGAGGCATGTTTACAGCCCAGTCACCCTGACATCCCCACGTTTCCGTGTCTTATGAAGGGCGTCAGTACTCTGGGTGTTGATGAGATCCAGGATGATAAAGCATCAAGCACTTGGCCCGTTACAGCTCGTACGAGAATTTCTTTCCTACGTTTAAACCAGGCTATTGATGTGACATCAGCTGTTTTCAAGTTGTTTTATCTTAATCTGTAAATCATTAGCATAATTTAAAGTGCCAGGAGAGAATCCCCACTATCACATCTAGTCTAGAAACTGTCGAATGTGGTCTCTCTCTCTCTCTCTTTTTTTTTTTTTTTTAAGATTTTATTTACTTATTTGACAGACAGAGATCACAAGTAGGCAGAGAGAGAGAGAGAGAGAGGAGGAGGAGGCAGGCTTCCCGCTGAGCAGAGAGCCCGATGTGGGGCTCAATCCCAAGACCCTGGGATCATGACCTGAGCTGAAGGCAGAGGCTTTAACCCACTGAGCCACCCCAGGCGCCCCATGAATGTGGTCTCTTTAAACAGTTCTGTTAATTTGTAGAGAGTCAGAATTCTTGCAATTTCCTTTTCTGGGAAAATGTGTGCCTTGTAATGGGAATCTATCATGTAGGCGCAGCCACGGCGGAGGGCAGTTCGGCGATGTGTTACTAGTTTGAACATTCCTGTACTCGGCTCGTTAGCAGTCCCTCTGGTAGCTGTGTGAGAGAGACTGTCACCCGTACACAGCAGGAGACAGGGCCCAGCGTAACTGAGCCGCGGAGCTCTGGAGCCCCACATGTCCATCGGCTGGGGCGGGGCCCAGTCAGTGGTGGCAGACTCAGCGCACTTCAGGGGACGAGGCAGGAAAATTCCAGGACAACGTTCCTGTCCGGCAGTGCAGACTGAGCACCCACAGCTACACACCACACAAGCGTTAGCCCGAGAAGCACGACACTCCGCCAGCTCTCGGAAGATTCACAGGGTAGAGTTCCGTGTTAGCAAAATCCGAAACAGTATTTTGTCTGGCTCACATTGATGTGTAACGTAACTTTTTTAAGCAAAGGAAGTAGAGACACAAAATTGGGATGTTTGGATTAGGGGTTCCTCCCTGGGGGAAGGTGAGGGGGGATGAGAGAAGGACACACAGGTAAACGGAAGTATCAGTTATATTCTAATCTTTGGCCGGTGTTCCCCATGTGGTTCTGCTTTAAGACTCCCACATGGGTCACATCTATTCTGTGCCTGTCAGAGTAACGATTAATTTGGTAGACAGGACAACTTATTAGTATGGAGTTAATTCTTACGTATGAGTAGGTTGCCTGGTTTTTTAAATGGGCGTGTTGTTTTCCTGGGGCTTCCGTAACAATGTGCCGCAGAGCTGGTGGCTTAGAACACAGCAGTGTGCTCCGTCCCAGTGCTGGAGGCCAGAAAGCCAGACCCAAGGTCCTGCCGGGGCCATGCTCCTTCTGAGGGCTCCAGGGAAGACCCCTTCCTGCCTCTTCCAGCTTCTGGAGGCTGTGGTCCTCGGCGTTCCTTGGCTGGCAGCCGTCTGCCTCCCTGCTCGGATGCCACCTTCTGGAGCATGTCCTCTCCTCTCATGAGGGCACCCATGGTTGGATTCAGGGCCCACCCTAATCCTAACCAGCCCGCTGCCCTGGGGCCTCATCTTCACTGATTACATCTGCAAAAACCTGATTTCCGATTTGCCCACTACTGTGGGCAGAAGCCATGAAACAGCAATTCACAGAAGCTATATATGATTAATAAATATCAAAATATACTTACTGGGACATTATTAAGTAATTGCAAATTGCAGTCACTGCCTTTTCTACCTGTCATGTCAAAGACTGAAAAGCCTGATGGAGCTGACAGGGGTGTAGGAACATGTGTTCCTGTGATGGTGGGCGTGTGTTTGTGTATGGTTATTGGAGAGCAGTTTGGCAATATCTATCACAATCCATTTAAAATACCTGTACCCTTTGACACCCAACCAAGCCTACTTCTAGAAATTTATTCTTCTGGTATGCTTGCATATCTGCAGAGACCCTTGTTTGAGGATACTGAAGGATCTGGCCCCAGCCTCTCTTCCCACCATCCCTTGCCCCACCGTCCTAGAACACGGCCCCCACCCACTGCCACATCCTCCTCAGAGCTCCCTTCCTGGAGTTCCCCCACCCGTGTTCCTGCCCCGTCTCCGTTTGCCACGGTGGTGCTTACCTGTGTGCGAGCTGTCCTCCTTGGGCGTCTGCAGCAGCGGGCCAGCACCTGGCACATACCTGGCCTGGGGAATGGAGGTGGGCTCAAGGGGAGGCCCAGGGAGGAGGCGTGGCCTCTGTGGAACATTTAGCCTGTTACCTCCCCAGGCCTGTGACTGATCAGGGAGGGAGGTTCAGCCACTCCCCGACTTACAGACGAGGGAGGAAGGTGGAGCCATTGGCCCAGGGTTTTCCACTGAAAGACAAAGCCTTGGGACGCCTGGGTGGCTCAGTCCTTAAAGCGTCTCTCGGGCTCCCTGCTTGGCAGAGAGCCTGCTTCTTCCTCTGCCATGCCCCTTGCTTGTGTTCCCTCTCTCGTGGTGTCTCTCTTATTTATTTATTTAAATAAATAAAATCTTAAAAAAAAAAAAGGAAGAAAGAAAGACAAAGCCTAGACTTGGTGGCACCTGGGAACTCGGGGATTCTGAGCACAGCCAGGCAGAATAGAAAGCCAGTGCCGCTGCCCCTGCCCCCCGCCCCAAACGTAGTGCCTCTTATGGGAGGCCTGCTGGTAGGCTCAGTCCGGTCAGGTACTTTCTACTGAGCTCTGAGCAGTTGTAGACTTGCCCTCTGAGGGCTCTGCGCGCCTCTGAGGCCCAAGCCCAGGAGCAGAGCCATCTCTGGACTACATACCCCACCCGAACTTCGGAACACACCGAAGAAAGCTGAGTACGTGCCTGGTGTCTCACCTGGGCCCCCGTTGCCCTTGGCCCACACTGTGCCTGCCTAGTCGGACTGAGACTCTCGGCTATGTCCCCCACTCTCCCCCATCCCCATCATTCAACATCACAGCAGCATGACTGTGGAGGTCCTAATCTGAAAAATCCAGATGAGAATCAGAAGTATCCCAGGGTCCTAAGGAAAACAGCACCAAGTTCATTTCTGCTCGGTGATGTGGCCTCCAGGAGCCTGTCCCACAAGTTGTGTTGCGTGGCCTGCAGTTACAGGCCTGTCTTGTGGCCCTTTGTCATGTGTCTGGTGATGCTCTCCAGGGCTCTTGGATTTGATGTCCTGGTGACCAGCTCTCCCTGTAACTTTGCTACTGAACAGATATCTGTCCAGCAGGTGCCTGTGGCATGGGCTGAACGGTTGTCATCATCCAGGCTCTGCAGAGTTGAAATACATACCATCCAAAGAAGGGCTACACCAGAATTTGTCCCTAGTTTCCATGCATTATAGATAACCTAGTAAAATTCCAGGGCAGTAATTTAAATACCCAGTGGCTCGTGCTGTTTGCAGGTGTTAGAGAAGCATCATTTACAGATCCAAACCTGAGAAGCCGAAGGAAAACCACCCGTTTCTCCAGCGAACAGAGTCTGGACCCTGGGCTGCTATGCGAGCGGCCACAGGGCCAAGTCTGCCGGTGCCCGTGGCCCAGGGTGGCGCCCACACAGACGGGCGCTTCCTGGTGGGTGCTGCTCCGGGCTCCCTCCCACCACACCACTGTGCCCCCTCACGTGGCCCTCACCTGTCAGACTGGGGTGGATCTCCCGAGACGCCTTGTGTTTTGGCTTTCAGACTTCAAACGTGAGGACTCCCCGAATGCGTCAGGAACCAGGGAAACCGGGCCAGGGAACGGAGTGTCCTGTGGTTCTTCATGGTGATGTTGCAGATACCGATGGCATCTGAGGGAAGGCAGGTGGTGTGTCTCAAAGTTGACGACGCTTTCTCTTTTTCCTCCAGAAACATGAAGACACAGAGTGTCCCTGTGTGGTGGTGTCCTGCCCCCATAAGTGCAGTGTCCAGACCCTGCTGAGGAGTGAGGTAAGGGGCGTGGCCAGGCCTGCGGAGGAGCTGGTGACAGCCTCAGGACTAGCAGCCAGACACTCCGTCCTTCCCCAATAGCTGAAGTCAAAGGTTTTCACGGAGCATGAGAGTGACGTGTAGAAAGACAACAGAGAACCTCATGCTATTTCGGGGCATCAAAAATTTCAGAAGCAAATAAATGCTACAGAGTGGTTAAATTCAGAGCAAAATATGGTTAAGAACTGAGAAAATGCAATTACTTTACAGTGGAAGCAAAGGTCATAACTTTGTAGGTTCTAAAAAAATCTATTTTATAATCTGTAAAATAGGAATTCCTATAAGATTATCTCAAAATAAATGATGTTACAGACACTGCTGACCCTCTTGGCCATGTATGCTGTGCAGGGTTGGTGCTAGGGAGCAGGTGGGCCTGGAGGCGGCCCCCACATTTCAGGGGCCAGGGAGCAGGGCCCAGTGTAGCCTCCCCAGAGGTCATGTGTCTCACGTGGCCCTTGGGCATGCTTTCTTCAAGGCAGGTAGATTTACATTAACTTAATTTGATTGGGATATATCCAGATGGAGAAATTCCAAGGATTCTTAAATGGTTTGCCACCTGGTCCTGATCTGGAGCCCCTTTGGTTGCTGTTTGGGGAGCACCTGGGGTCCTGTGCCCCCTGGTCCCCCCACAGGTCCCTCAGGCCCAGGTGCTCTCATCTAAGGAGGCTGCTCCCCTCACCTTTGCAACAGCCTGGAATTTTACCCCTGAACATTGGCGAGGTGAGGGTTGGTGTCTTATATCCCCACTGAGCAAGAGGACCTCTGTGGGCCTGGAGCCAGGGACACAGGGTACAGAGAGGACCCCCAGAACCACTCTTAGCCAGAGCATGTCCTCCCAGGAAGGTACTCTGCTAGGCCAGGGCAGGGTCTTCCTGGGCAGTCATGGCCCCAGACCTGTAGCGTGCCTCTGGGAGTGGCAGAGAGACATGTATGGATTTCCACAACTAGGAAATCCCTCTGCTGAAGTGAATGGGTAACGTGTCTACAGTATTGAAGGGATCACCAGGGTTTTATACGCTTTCCAGAATTTTCAGTCAGGGCTACCTGAATTAGGGACAGAAGCTAACTCCATTTGCCTCTAAGTTATTTTTCTTTTAAAAATATTTAAACCTGCATTTATCTTGGGTTTCTGGTAAACGATGCTACTGGTCTATAAATTATTCTTGCCTATTTTCCTAAGCTCCTGTGAGGGAGCATGATAAAGGCTCTGAGAGGAATGATAATGAGCCATTTTAGGAGAAAGCGTGACCCTGAATTAACAGTGGCCCAATGAAAATGACATCAGACCCCTGTGTCCCTGATTTTAATACCAGAGGCGCTGGCTGGATAGGTTCATGATCACAGCGCTGGCCTGAAAAAGTAGATCTTAAAACTTCGAAGGTGACATTACTATGCATGGTCTCATGCTGTGTCTCTCTGCCAGTCACCTGGGCTCTCCCTTTTGGGCACTTTCCTCCAGGTGCCAGCCAGAGCTTCGTGGCCAGTGTGCTGGTCTGCTAGAATTGTGACCACCATGATCTGCCCCGGCTCAGAGACCTTCCACAGAGCTTGACCCATAGGCTCCCCGGGACTGTGGCCCTTCTCTGCAGCTCTCGCCACAGGCCTACTCTCCTCCCTGTCCTAAATACTGATCTAAAGGGGAAAGACTCGAGCTTTTTGTGCTGGTGTATGGTGGCCAGGCCCAGGAGCCTCTGGGAATGTGTGTGTACACAGAAAAACGCGCGCCCAGCTCTGCAGTACGCTCAGACACCCCCTCTCCTAATTCAGGGTCTAATTGTTCTCTATAAAGAAGATCTATCCTTAGAGTTTCCTGATGAGAATTTCTTCAATAAAAGAAGAAGCTGTCCTTAAATTGTATCAGCCTACTGAGTAGTACTATGTCTTTAAAATGTAAATGTTTCAATTCCCTTTTCTCTTGAGGGGGTATCATAAGTGGTTTTTATTTGACGATTTGCCAATATTTAAGCTGAACAAAGGGGTTTTTCCTTGTACAAGGAGTTATCCTCTCCCGATCTCTCTTAATTTGCTTCTTCCAATTAGAGGTGACAATATTAAGATTGTTAGAATGACCTTAGCGATCTGTGAGAGGCTACATGGGTTTATGCGCATTCAGAGGGAAAAAAAGTCTTTCCAGAAGAAGGAAAAACTCATCTTGTTATCTTGAGTATTGAGAGTAATGGTACATCATGTAAGCTTGCTTCCAAAATATATTTATTTTTGTGTACCATATATTAGGTGTGTGACCCAGTTACATCCTGAATGCTTTCTCTTTTTTGTGTTTCATGCAACTTTTGTTTATAGTCTTTAAATGTTCATTTCAGTTTACGTTTCTCCCTTTCTTTTTAAAATGCTGGCGCTGCAGACGGCATGTCACATTTTGAACAATTTGTTCTAAAGAAACTGTAGGTTTAAGAAATGTTACAGTAACCGTATTTCTGTATATTGGCGTATATATGTGTATACATGTGACAGTAGTGTAAATTTACTGCCTTGAGCCCAGGAAGCAGGTGGTATACACACCTGTAGCTGATAAGCCCCCTTCGTGACAGTACAAACCAGATGCTCTCTGTGCCCTTAATGTGTTTGAACATTTTCATGCAGACGCTTGTGCCACAACTCACGTCTCTTTCCCGTTGCAGTTGAGTGCACACTTGTCAGAGTGTGTCAATGCCCCCAGCACCTGTAGTTTTAAGCGCTATGGCTGCGTTTTTCAGGTCAGTATCCAACATTTGTCCTTCCCAGTCACTGACATTCTGCCATGAGAGAAAGTTACTATCTTAACATCTTAACATGCAAGTTCTGGACTTGTAGTCTTTGTCATGGAGCCGAGTCACCGTGCTGCATGGGCAGCGAAAGCTACATGCAGCCACCGTGGGTGCTTGCTCTCCATGCCCGTGGTGTTCTGAGACCTGAGGTGGACACCGGTGCTGAGAAGGAAGTCAGGGCATTAGCAGAATGACTCCATCTGACACCGGCTAGGCAGTGGGACAAACAGGACTGACAGTCGTGGGGCGGGTTTCTGGAGAGAGATGGCTGTGGAATTGGAGCGCATACTTGAATGTAAGTGCATGTCAAGCCAGACACGGCTTGGGCGGTGTGTGCATCAGTGCACAGCTGTGCGGACCGCACTCGTGTGTCCCGGGGCATCTCCACCACCCCTCACGGAGCAGCTGTGTGGAGAGGGCATCTCTGTCACCACCACACTCAGGCTGCAAGAAGCCTGTGTCTGGGTTTTTTTTGTTTTTGTTTTTTAACACGTCTGAGATTGCTAGTGAATTTGAACCGAGTTTCATTGAAACGTGTGTCTCAATTTTAAAACTGATCAGAGGGCAGTATCTATTACAGTTAAATTATATTTAATTTTGTGTATTACCAATACATTGTTATGAAATCAGTACAGAGATACTGGCAACTCAGTATTTTCTTAGAAAGTAAAGAGCCCTAAGAGTAAGAGTGACTGTAGCTCTCCCTTTGTCTCCGTCTCTTAACGAGACGGAGCGCTCGCCACTGTTATGTCGTATGTAGTTCCATTCATTCTGTGTATGTGTATATATATGTTTATATAGAGCAGTACTTATATCAACATATATATATGAATATTCTATGTACAGAGTATGTGTTTTGGAGATCATTAAAATGCTGTTTGTGGCTTCTTAATTTTCTAATCCCAAAACAAATTACATTTTCATATGGATTATTTCCTTGCATATACGAAGTACTATTCATGTGCTTATTACTGACTCTGATGTGGTCTCCATCTTATGTACTCTGTAGATTGTTTATGTTTTGTATGTAACTTTCCAAGTATACTTAGAACAGTGAGGAGCAATAAGTTTTTTAATACAGTATTTTTCCCTAATAAGTTAATATTCTAGAAGATTATTTAGAATGCCACTTTGACTACATGTTCGCTCACTAGATTATTGTAGCACTGCCTAGCTGTAACTGCAGGTGTCTGCACATTTCCCATTTGTAGTTTTAATGGAAAAATTTATAAAAGAACAGAAGTGAGAGGTCTAAGATTTAATTTCTGGGCATTACAAATATGAAATGCAGATGAGAAGGCACTTGGTAAGAAGCTGGAGGAGTAAAGAGCATGAGCTTGAGCTCGCTGCAGACTTGCAGGCTGTCTGTCTTGCCAGCCTCCCCACCTGCCCTTGGCAGAGCAGGCGCCACCAAGCACGGCCCCTCGAAGGCGTGGAGACCGCCCGCTAGCCATACAAGAGCAGGGCTCCCCTCCGTGTGTAGCGCTGGGGTTAGGTCATGTGTTAGTCTTGCTGCGCTCCGTAATGGAGTGATGGCTTAATGCACTGCGTCTCTGTTCTCGCAGGGGACAAACCAGCAGATTAAGGCCCATGAGGCCAGCTCCGCGGTGCAGCACGTCAACTTACTGAAAGAGTGGAGTAACTCTCTAGAGAAAAAGGTAACACCAGACTGCTTCTCGCTTTTGTTGGCTTTTAATCATTTCTTCAAATTATTTAAAGAAGAAAATCTTTTTTATAGTTACTAATGGTTTTGGATAAAAGAAACAGTATCAAGAGAATATCCAAAAAGTAAATTTCTTTTCACATGACTTTGAGCTCATAAATGAAGGCATTTGTGTGTGTTTGTTCTTTGTTTGTTAATTGCCAAGCAAGCATGCAGTGCGCCCCCCCCCCCCGCCTTTTTTTTCCTAAATCACATTGTGGTTAACTTAGCATTGACCTAGAATGGGGATTCTCAGACTGCCAAACCTCCCCATCTCTCCCCATCAGCCTCGTCTTATTGTAAGTAAGTTTTATTGGAATGCAGCCATGCTCATTCATTTCCCTGTTGTCCATGGCTACTTTTGCAGAGTTTAGGAGTGAGACAGAAACTGTACGGACCTCACAGCCCAAAATGTTTACCCTCTGGCTCTTTGCAGAAAAAGTCTGCCGACACCTAGTCTGGAAGGTGACCCAGGTTACATGCTTCACCGTTCTTTGTCTTTTCTGAGCAATGCTGCCCCCCACGGGTGTTACTGTCGACTTCCTCACCGGATGCTTTGTGGAAGCTGGGTGCAGGGGCACTTGTCCTCCGGCTGGGCTGCTTCTCAGGAGGCCTGCGTGGTGGGGCTGCTGCCTCCTTAGCAGGCGCCTCCCCCGTGTAGTACTTCTTCCCCCTGAGTTCTCCCTCCGCGGTGTTCCCCTAGGCCAGGCCTTCTGTTCATGAGGAAAACGTGAAAACCTCGGAGAACTGATAGAGAAGAAGTTGTGACAGGATCTCTCACTGTGGCTTTTGTACAAAAACAGAAACACTTCAGTATTCAGGAAGCACTGGCAGAGAGTTTGCAGCAGGAGGGCACGAGGTGAATTAGAGCGGCCGGTAGGACTGATGTTCATTTTCTAAAGATTTGCAGAGATTTGAATACCTTGTTCTGGCATGAAATCTAACCAATTTAAAAAGCGGATGTGTTTGAACCAGTCCAAAATTGTTAATCAGAAGACTTGTATGAACGCTGACATAAAGTAGCTCTTTCAATACGAGTGTTGACGCCGAGGGTGAGAAGCGACGGGAGGGCTGGTCACGCGTGCATGTGCAGGTGCGGCAGCGGGAGGGTCCCCTTCACTGGTGACACAAACTGTGTGTGTGAGGAGTCGTTTGTGACTTCCGCAGGGACACATAGTACTCGCTCTGAGCTAACGATGGTTTACGAAAGTCTCTCTTCCCCGCTGTTTGAAGAATGTGTTGTTTCTGCTGTTCAGAAATGGTAGCATCGACGGCAGGGTTCTCCGCCTCTCGTGGACTCGGCTTCTCACTTAGGTGACAGGTTCTCGCTCTCGTTGAAGATGCGTTGATTGCGCCCCAGTGCGCGTGCGCGGTTGTGACGGGGGCCGCTTGCGGGCAGGTCGGGGAAGGTGCCCGCGAGTCTGCCCCCGGAGCCCGGTCAGCCCCCGGAGCCCAGTCTGCCCCCAGAGCCGAGCCTCGCAGCGCGGGTGCAGGGTGACCCCGGCAGTAGCGATGTGCCCCCACCCTCCGCGGCGGTGGCCTCGCTCCCCTGCACGGCGGCGTGTGCGCCTCTGGAGGTGCCCGGCCCCGCGGCTTCCCGGCCCGCGAACACCCCATGGGAACGCGGCCTGTCACCTGCGAGGGCGGGACGCGCTGCCACGCGCTGCAGCTGGCGCACTCGACATCTTTGCCCCTTTTGTCTCTCCCCGTCTCTGCCCGGCAGAGTGACCCCGCCTGCCGTTAGGTCCGGGAGCCCGGGCCGCGCCTGGTGTTTGCGCTCAGCGGAGGGGGCCTGTGTCTTCACTGGGCCCAGAGGCGAAGACCGGACAAAGAACGGACATACTCATCTCTTCCTAACATGGGAATTTATTTTTCGTTATAGAATTACTCAGTTGGAATCTCTTAGGTTATTTTGTTCATGTGTAGTGGAAAATAGCATGTTTGAGTTGGTTCAAAACCCTGACCCATCACATTCATGTCAAATTAAGGAAAAGCTGTTTTGTAGAATGTGGACTTAAGAACACCCATCTTCCATGTTAGGGAAGCTTACAGGGAAATACAGAGTGCCCCACCAAAATAGGCTGCAGTAAATGTTGTTCTCAGGAGGGCCTTGGGGAAGGACGGGGGACTCCTGCTTTCATCTGCCTTGGGAATGTTCTGCTGTCTTCTTGGAAACACACCTGCCAGGTAGACTTTCCCGTACACATCATGTCTACATGGTGGACGGGTGATAGCTGGGATCTGCAGGGTCCAGGAGTTGGATTCTTTGATTAAAAGAAATAAGTAAATAACGAAGTAAATTTTTACCTTAGGGAGATCCCTAAATTAAGAAGTTAAGCATTTAATATGACGTGATATGTGCTCATTCATGTGAGACACTTCTGGGCATCTTCAGGTCGCTTGTTTTGTTGTAGGAAAAAAATGGCCATTGTTTTTGGAGATATTACTGAGATTTTTAATCAAAACCGTTGGCATGCATGCAGGCTATTTCTTTTTTCTGGGTATGAGACTAAAGAGTCTGGGAATCGTGTCCAGCTTGAGAGATGGGAATGAGTGAGCCATAGCTTTGGGAAAGGCAGACCCGTCTGCAGGAATGACCCGTGGCCCGTCTATATCGCCTGTAGGAGTCCGGGGGCGGAAGTGTATATTTTAGAGGAAAGTCCACTGGTGCCAAGTGATGTGCTAGGCAAGTGATGAGTTCTTTTGCCTGTGAGACATCGCAGGTTTCGTGTTCCTCAGTAAATACGCATTTGTTCTAAAGTGAAGCAGACTGTGACCTAGGTGCTGCCTGGTTGCCTGTCTTTAGGCAGGTTCTTCGCAGGGACGTCAGGAATCTGCGCTTTACCACACCCAGGTCTGTCCTGGGATGGCTTTGGGCCATCGCCTCAGGTGTTGGCTGGTATTTGGGGGGCACATCTGAGTGGAGGTGTCACAGCATTCCCCAGGGAGCCTGCCGTCTTCGGGGGCCACAGCCCAGTCCGCGCACAGGCGCATCTGTTGGTAGAGAGACCTTTCTGAGGGCCAGAGAACCCCATGCAGAAATCTGGTGAGAAGGCGGCCTTGTCAGACTTGCCTTCGGACTCCTCACCCGGGGGCTTTTAAGACCAGGTTTACATGGGTTCTTGGGAGCTAATTATTTCCTAGAAAGAGATTTTGAAAAGGTCGGTGGTGGGTTTAGAACTGCTCCCCCAGCAGGCCCTTCCTGGGCTGACATGCTGTTGCCTGTCTTCATACACTGGGTTTCCTGGAAGGTCTTCTCTGGCCTCAGGCCGGGTGCACGGGCTCTGCAGCTCCTGGGTCTCTGCTGCAGGGCTCGTTGTCAGCCTGAAGGAGTAAGTGAGGCACGAACGTAGCTTTGTTATTCTCTCTGTGCTTTCCCCTTGTGTTGGGAGAGCTTTCCAAAGTGCGGGAGAAAGCCCACTGGTGGAAGTGAGATAATTCACTGGGCTGCAACTAGTACTTTTTAAAGTAAAATAGAATCAAAGAGAAAGTACCAGGACACATGGAAATGACTAGGGCGAGGATGGTTTTGGGATACCAGTTTCTTGGGTGTACACACACACACACACACACACACACACGTCTGTATACACGGGGTGAGAGGTGAGAATGTGTCTCCTGGTCAGTTTGAAAGCCACTCTGGTAGAAGGTTTATTTTTCAGCAAAAACTTTGGAAAGCGTGTCCCATTCGTTCCAAAGGCGCGGGCTGCTGTGCTTTGCCTCACCGTAGTTCATTACCTGGGGCAGAGTGTAGGGTTTCCTGTCAGTTACCAGGACTTCCATTTCCTGTGTGAAGGGATTTTTGTCCCCTGGAGCTAGTAGAGGGCCTATATTGTGAAAACGCAAGTACTGTCATTATAATTGTCATTAATTAATAAAACCACTTTTTGTTTGCTTAATTCAAGAATTTCTTTTTCAGGTTTCCTTGCTACAGAATGAAAGTGTAGAGAAAAACAAGAGCATACAAAGTTTGCACAATCAGATATGTAGCTTTGAAATTGAAATTGAGAGACAAAAGGAAATGCTCCGAAATAATGAATCCAAAATACTTCATTTACAGGTAAGAAGTTTAAGACGGTGGCTGGATCAAAGGATGAGGAACATGTCTGTGTTCTCCTTCCAGACTTTCTCAGTGAGCTGTTTGAGCAAAAGCCCTGACCTTTGTTAAACAGACGGCCTGTTTCTCTGAAGTGTAGACTGAGAACCTGGGCCGCTGTTTCTTCCCCACTTTTCCCTGGAGAGCAAGCCCACTGGCTCTCTTCTGTGTCTTTGATTCACTCTTAAGTAAGACTTAAAGCCTGCATTTTTAAAAACTAGCTGTTTTTATTATTGTTTAAGATTACATATTGTTCAAGAGTAGTTATGTGTAAAGTTTCACTTCCTAAAGTGAAGTGAAGCTGATTTATTTTGTTGTGAGTGTTCTGGCCACACATTCCCCACTTTATCTCACCACAGAGATTCAGATGTCCCTCAGAGCAAACGCGCAGACCTTTGCTGCTCTGAGAAAAGGTGATCGGGAAAAGACGCTTCATTAGAATGTTGCTTCTCGTTTGTTATCAGCACAGGTGCTTGTTAGTATCTTGTTCCTGTAGATCTTACCCGCACACTAGTGTCCTCGCGCCGTATGTCTGTTACACTCATTTCTACGTATATCACACACCCCCACGGAAAAATCACTACTGTGTTTCCAAGATGGCTTTTTAGTGCTTTTACTTAGATGTGTTTCCTTAAATTATCTGGAAGATAAATTTTTTCCAAGAGCTCAGAGTCACGGAGTCTTTGAGAATGCCTTTCTTTGCATTTTACCATCAGAGATTACTCCTAGTGGCTCAAATTGCATAGCGATTTATTAAATCAGTTTCATCTGTGTTAAAACCTTGTGGTTGTCCAGAGACGAGGAAAAACACAATGAAATAATAGATTGTGTTAGGAAAGGTAAAGTCACTGGTATTGAATCAAGCCAGAAGAAGTATGTGATGTGAAACACCAGCAGGCCTCCTGCCGGCGAGCGCCCGTGAGAGCGGTTCGGGAGGCCCCTCTCAGCCCCGAGCTACTGGCAGCCTAACTGTGGGCCTGGGGCTCTGAGACGTGCGTGGAAAGGACACAGAAGTTAAAGCTATACTAGAAAAACACCTTAAAAAATAGCAACAGAAGAATAAGTAAGTAGTAGGTTCATTTGTACAGCATCATTGAAAACCAGAAAAGTGAGGGTCTCCGTAATGAGGTCACCGGGGCATTTGTTGGAACCTCTGATACCGCTACCTGCGCCCTCCATTTCACCCTCTCCTGGGGTCAAAAATTTGAACTTACTTTAATTTACTTTTTAGTAGAGCTTAATCATTCTACCGTGTATGATATATATTTGAACACTTTGGTGATGGAATCAACTGCTGGGATCTAGGAAAGGAAGGGGGAAAGCAGGTCACTGGTGCCCAGAGCGTGGGGGCTGAGCAGCCGACCAGTTGGTGCCCCTGATGGGTCCTAAGTAGGAGGGCGGCCACTCGCCACTGCTCTTCTGCACGGAGAGGAAGGCATGGAGGGAAACAGACTGTGTGGAAGAAAGGCACGCAGATCAGCATGCACGTGCCACACCTGATCTCACGGAGTGCATTGGGACAGCACTCCCCGCTCCGCCAGGGGCTTCTGGAGACTGAACTCTGGGTGACGGTGTGATGGCAAAGGTGGCAGATCGCCTGTGCTTCGCTGTGGGGCTGGCCCCGCGCACAGAGTCAGGGCTCTCCATCTTCAGGCATCGTGGGTGGAAGACCTCCGTGGCTGGCCCCCTGAGGCACTGGCTGTCTGTGAAGCACGCTCGGCCTGGGGGCACTTCTCTGCGGTCCCTCCAGAGCCTTCACCGCTCCACCCTGAGCCTCGGTGCCGCGCGGTCTTCCTTCCTCATCCCAAAGCCTTCCTGTCGCCTTCCCCTCCTCCCTGCTCCCCCAGCCCTGCGCATTGGACCACCACAGTGACCCCAGACTTGTTACCTCCCTTGTTGGACTCTCCAGGACACCCCGAGACCCTGGGGACGGTGGCAGCACATACGGATGGCAGAGCTCCTGAGGGCCCCGGGTACACACGGGGACAGGGATGTGATCAGAGCTGGCCAGCGAGAGTGGGATTCAAGAGTGTGTTTGCTTTTGCTGGCCCAGGAAGGGCAGTTGCTTAATATTTTTCTTTTTAAAGAACGTGTTTAAGACCACCTAGATGTCCGCTGACTCTGTGTGTCCCTGTTGTTGGCAGAGGCCAGAGGAGCTGGTTGTTCTGCAGTCCCGGGTGTGGAACTGAAGCCACGAGGTGCACTGTCCCTCCCCAGCCTCCCCCCGCCCCCCGCATGGTCCCTTTGGCGCAGTGTTTGGTACAGAGGTCCCAGTGACTGAGCGGTGCAAGGGGCAGGAAGAGGGACGGTGGTGGAGCCCCCGGGTGTGCCCTGTGTGGGCTGACGAGCGAACCTTTTGATTAGGATTTATTGACTTTGCCTGCAGTCGGTGCCGTCTCTCAGCGTCTGGCTTCTTTTTCTCGTGCAGCCTACACCTGCATTTAAGGTCTATTTTTATAGAAAGATGACAGCAGCTGTGTGTAGACCACTCTGGAGGAATGAGATCATGTTTGCTGCATTCTGCAGAGAAAGTGATCGGTGGCGTGTTCTGCTTGACTTGCCAGCACGTACACAAAGGAGAGGAGTTTAGAACCACCACATCGTCTCTTGCTGGGCGAGGGGGGCCGGTGCTCCTTTAAAGTGATCACCCTTGGTGGAGCCTTATCTGTGTGCACACTGTGTGCAAGTGTGCACGCGCGTCCCCCTGTCCCCGGCCCCATATGCTGACTCAGTGTCACTGAGCTGGCGCCTGGGGCCCCTGCGGCAGCCCTCCCCTCATTTCACACCCATGGTTCTGGCCCTGAGGTCACCATGTGCCTTTGCACCCACTGCCCTGTGCACAGCACTCAGGTGCTGGGGAGGAGGCCCCTCTGTGTCACCCCCATTTTATCTCACGGGCATGAAGCTGAGGGGTGATGCTGGCTTGTCCCAGGCCGGCGTGCAGTTCACTCAACGAGGACCAGGCTACAGAATGGCATCCCTGAGAGCCACCACTGATGACAAGGGTTTCCGTTGACCTCCCTTGTAAACGCACCAGTATCCCCGGTACCTCAACTGGTGGCGTTGGCGGGTAGGGTTGTGGCAGCCCTGCAGGGGCTTGTCAGAAATACATCATGGCTCGGTGTTCGGGGGAGGGGGGTTGGTAGTGCTGCCCCCAGAACCCAGACTTCGTGACCTAATTAAATATGCCTCCAGACACATGGATTTAAACAAAATGACGTCATTGTGGGAAGAGGTGTTCTTTACAGAAAGCATTTTTCTTTTTTAGTGTTAGCTAATATCAGGTTTTCTTGGAAAGAAGAGGAAGAATGATCCTGTACTTCTACCCCAGAAAAGTAACCCAAACCTACCGTGTTTGTTTCTTGGTGGTTATTAACAGCCAGCAAACGTGCTGAAACTAAATATTTAAAAATAGGCTTCCAAAAGGAGAAGTGAGCTCAGCAGCCCCTGGGGTGCTCCCCCGTGTGGCCCCTCAGGTTCAGAGGCGGCCCAGTTACTCACTGGCCCTCACTGGGGGCCAGACCATCCAGCCTTCATGAGCTTCACTTCAAAAAATGCAAATCCTTTTTAGAAGTGAAAACCCTGGGGGCACCTGGGAGGCTCAGTCAGTTAAGCATCTGCCTTCAGCTCCCGTCATGATCCCGGGGTCCTGGGCTCGAGCCCCTGGTCAGGCTTCCCTGCTCCGCCGGAAGCCAGCTTCTCCCTCTGCCTCTGCCCTTCCCCCACCTCAAGTAAATGAACAAAATCCTTAAAAAGAAGTGAAAACCCTCTAGGTCCCGGCTTTACCCACCAGGTGGGAATGCCAGTCCTTCCGAACTGCCTGGAATGTGTCTTATCCCTCCGCTTGTTGCTGTACATGGTCTGTGTGTTTCTGCTGAAAGAGGGTTTCTGAATTATTTAAATTAAGATAGGGTGAAATGCAGCCTCGCTGTCTGCAGCCTGTCCGTGTATTTGTCCGTCGTATTTCTGGGCCCAGCGGGCACCGGATCCTGAGCACCGTGCCGGGGGCGGGGGGGGGGGGGTGCAGCCAGCCCCGCTCCTCGGCATTGCCTCTCCGTTTCAGCCGGGATCTTCCTGCGCCAGCCCTGTGCGGGTGCCAGGGTGGTGGCTGCTCTCTCTTGGGACCCAGCAGGATTCCGGGGCACTGCCTGCAGCCACAGAGACAAGGCGACCCCTCCAGCCCTGGGTCAGGCAGCCTCATGGGAGACGCAAGTTGTTCGGCCCCTGTAGATGGCTCGGCCCTTTAGGAAACAGACCTCCAGAAGGCCCGTGGGTGTGGCTTCAGGGTCCTGCACCCGAGATTCTAGGACAGAGCGGTGTAGGGCCCCGTGCCATGCAGCTGGCGGGTGAGACTTCTCTGTGCCTTGGTCCCCTCCTCTGGGATAGGACCTGTGGCCCCTGCATCCCCTGAGATGCGTTTGGGCCACCAGAGAGTTGCGGGCGTGGGGCGGGCTCTCGGCACGGGGCTGGCTGCTGGTCCTCGATGGCTGCTGTGTGATGGGAGAAGCTCAGCGTCTGCAGGTTTCTAACTGTGTTTTACCTTTCCGATGCCTTCTATTTGGAAGCGAGTGATAGACAGCCAGGCAGAGAAACTGAAGGAGCTGGACAAGGAGATCCGCCCCTTCCGGCAGAGCTGGGAGGAAGCAGACAGCGTGAAGAGCAGCGTGGAGTCCCTGCAGAACCGGGTGACGGAGCTGGAGAGCGTGGACAAGAGCGCGGGGCAGGTGGCTCGGAACACAGGTGGGGGCCGCAGTGGAGGGTGGGGAGGGGTCTGGGGCAGGCAGCGTGCATCCTGGTCTGTTCCTGGGAGCCTGGCCAGCCTGGCCAGGTGGGGGGCTTGAGATGGTGGGTGGGTGGCACACGGGGCACACACCCCCTAGAGCAGCGGTTTCCAGAGAGATGTACCGTGCAGAGGTGTGATGACTTTCCAGCCAGAGATGCCTTTGTGAGAGACAGAAACGTCTCCCACCGAGACACCCCTCCGTGTGACGCCGGCCTGCTGGAGAGGAGGTGCAGGGTGGACGCCGGGCAGAGGACAGGGCTTGCTGGTTGGAGGCGGTGGGGTGCAGGGTGGGGAGGTGAGGGAGAGGCTCCCGGCCATGCTCGTGAAAGCCTCCGAGGGACAGAAGTGAGCAGCAGTGAGACAAGATCCCACAGTGTGCTCAGCCAGCGTGTTTCTGATTCCTCGAATGTGCTTTGGGGACTAAGTGAATATTCTGAATTTTTTGCGTGACAAGGATTAATGGTGCAGAGGGACTGGGGTTATGGCAAACCCCCCCCCCCCAACATTAGGTTAAGCCGAGGATGGGAATGACATGGTGAGAGGCCACACCGGGAGCAGGTGACTCTGAGCGTCAGGCTGGAAGGCAGGGGGAGGTGAGCAAGAGGGTGGCCTTTCCCTGCCCCCAGTGGGGCTCTCAGGGCGCGCTGTGGGAGGGAGGGCCCTGCTGTGATGTGCTCTGGGACACACCGGCCTGTGTCCCCCCAGGTGTTGCCTCCCAGCAGGCCGTGGCCGTGGCCATGGGTGTGGGGGACCAACGAGGCCGGGATCTGAGCCCTGTGTTTCAGGACACGTAGAGGTGTTTGTCTTCCACCCACAAGCCTGCTCGTGCTGGTGTTGGCGGGAACAGGCTCCTCCCGCCTTCCTGGCACTCACGGGCCTCCTTCGCCCCATCTCTCCTCACCCACGGCAGGCTTGCTGGAATCCCAGCTGAGCCGGCACGACCAGATGCTGAGCGTCCACGACATCCGCCTGGCCGACATGGACCTGCGCTTCCAGGTCCTGGAGACCGCCAGCTACAACGGTGTGCTGATTTGGAAGATCCGAGATTATAAGCGGCGGAAGCAGGAAGCCGTCATGGGGAAGACCCTGTCTCTTTACAGCCAGCCCTTCTACACGGGCTATTTTGGCTATAAGATGTGTGCCAGGGTCTACTTGAACGGGGATGGCATGGGGAAGGGGACGCATTTGTCGCTGTTTTTTGTCATCATGCGCGGAGAGTACGATGCCCTGCTCCCTTGGCCGTTCAAGCAGAAAGTGACGCTCATGCTGATGGATCAGGGGTCCTCTCGGCGCCACCTAGGGGATGCCTTCAAGCCGGACCCCAACAGCAGCAGCTTCAAGAAGCCCACCGGGGAGATGAATATTGCCTCTGGCTGCCCAGTGTTTGTGGCCCAAACTGTGCTAGAAAATGGGACTTATATTAAAGATGATACCATTTTTATTAAAGTCATAGTGGATACTTCGGATCTGCCCGACCCCTGACAGGTCACTGGGGGGGTGGATTGAGCAGAAGGCAACTCCTCGGGGGTTTGAACCGGCTGTCTCCACCGAGGTCCTCGCGCTCAGAAAAGGACCTTGTGGAACGGAGGAAGCAGCAGAAGGTGGCCGCGGGCCGGCGGGAGGAGCCACGCGTGAGGACACACCCAACATGTTTTTTAATAGACTAGCAACACTCCGCTCTGAAGAATTATTTATCCTTCGACGTGATAAATACTGCTGTCAGAGAAGGTTTTCATTTTCATTTTTAAAGATCTAGTTAATTAAGGTGGAAAACATATATGCTGAACAAAAGAATCGTGATTTTTCTTCCTTAAACTTGAACACCAAAAAACACACAGACACGCGCACACACATGCACACACACGCACACCTGGGGATAGCTGGACATGTCAGCATGTTAAGTAAAAGAAGAATTTATGAAATAATAATGCAATTCTGATATATTCTAAAATTCAAGAGTGCAATCTTGTTTCAAATATAGTATATTGTCTATTTTTAAGGCCTCACCTGGTCTCTGTTTTAATAATTTGTTTGTCAGAAGACCCTGAAGTACACCTAGGTCTTTTCTGAAAGTCTCAATTCAGAATCATTTTTTAATTTAAAGTTCTAAGATAATTGTTATTGCAAACATTTTATTTGAAAACGTTGATAGACTGATATTTCTTGGAAGAAAATGTAAACTATCCAACACTGGTTATCACTTGTGATAGGACAGAAACTACTCACTCTGCCGTTATTTCTCGTTAGAAATGTGAGCCTCACTACCTGTCGTAGTCCATGGCACTACGTCGCAGTCGCTATGAGGGGACCTGCTCATCGATGCTGTGCATCATTCTCAGACTTACAATCGTTGTCACCCTAAAATAGGGCGTTCGTTGAACTTTGGAGTTCTAAACAAAATCCTGTAGGCTTCTAAGATTCTGCCCCGTGTTCAGACACGCGCTCCCTTGCTGTCCACTCTGACCGTCGGCGTCCAGCACCCGGGCTGGGCAGGTGGCGGGGGCCGGAGGAGGTCGCGGCGGGTGTGTTTCTGCGTTCTGTCACGTCGCTGCGTCGTGTTGCCGATCTCCGAAGGCGGCGTCTTTGCGTGGAGGTGGTGGCATACAGTCCATGTGCCTTAGACGGGCCCTGCTGCTTCTCGCCCCGGCTCTGTGTTCGCTGTAACTCTGAAAGGTGTTAGCTTCCCCCGACTCTCCTCCCAACCGCGAGGTCTTTGCCTCTTCGGAGGCCCTCAGACAGCCCCGTCCCTGCGGAGGAAGCCGGGCTCCTCTTCAGCTTCCGGAGCCTACGCTGCTCCGTTGTCACAGGTTCCAAATCTCTGGGCCCCGAAAGTGAGCCGCCCAGTCCCTGCGCCGGCGTGGTGGTCCCACCCCCGGGCCAGGAGGGGAGCAGCCACAGCGCCTCTCCGGGTCCCCACCTGGGTCAGGGGAGTCCACCCCCCACCCCCCAGCCCCCGTGCAGCAGAACCCTCTGAGCATTCCAGAGACCGCCGCTCTGGGGGGCCCGCCCAGGCTCGGTGACAGGGCCCCGAGACCACTGTTCTCTTGGGAAGGGGGTGCTCGGGACGGTCCCGGCCTGCGCCCGCCCAGACGGCGTTTTCTCCACTCACTGTTTACCTTCTCTCAATGGTCCAACTGTGATTAGAAGCCGGAGCCCTGCCTCCCTGTGCCCCTCTGCTATGCACCGCGCTCCATGGGTGCTCTTACCACTGATGGGTGCTACACGTGACGGGTGCTTCTTAGGCAAAACCAGTGTGTGTGAACCACCGCATCTGTGCCGCTCATCCAAAAGACGCGCCTGCGACTGGCCAGCTGGGCCGCGCGCCTCAGACTGCCTGCCTCTGGGCTCCCCCGTGGTCGTGCGGGGACGGTTGGGCTGGTGCCTGGTGGCCCGCCGTGTCTCTGGTGCTGCCATCCGCCCTGGGCGTGCCTCCGCCCCAGTGCCTGCTGGAAGTGCCCTCCTAGCGCACCGTCCCTGCCCTGAATGACCTCCTCGGTTCCCGGCACCTGCCATGCCTTTCGCAGCCCAGTGCTCGTTGTAGCCATCTTCTTTATTTTCTCCACCCTGCCCCTCCACCACCATGGCTTTGAGGGCCGGTCTGTTCTCAGTCCTGGCCATGAGGAGTAGTGTGTCCCCATTCATAGAGGAAGGACGTCCTGCAGGTGCTGCGGGACCCCTGTTCCCTTGAAGGCATCCCTGACCACCTCCAGACCCTGCCCTGGTTCTACCCTGGACACCCAGCAGAGAGAGGATGCCAGGGGGTCCCTGCCCGGCCTCAGGTGGCTTTCCTGAGGATGGGAGTTATCAGCAGGGACTTACCTGAAACCTCCTCCCCCTTCCCTAAACATACAGACAATGTTAACAAATCTGAGATCAGCAACATCTCAGTCTAGTAAACAAACAAACAGTACTTTGCCTCTCCTGGTTGGAATTCTTCTGGGGGTAGGTCACCTGGGGGCACTTCTGGAAGCCTCTGTCCCTCGGTGGGGGCACTTTCCCAGCAGCCCCTCCTAGACACGCTCCTGGTGGGAGATGACGGGCCCTTTTGGCCTCCTCCCAGGGAGCCCGTAGGACATGGCATCAGGCCGGCACCTCCCTGGGATGAGCTTGGGCCACAGCGGAAGCTTCATGCAGTGGCTTGACAATAGCTGGTGATGGGGGGGGCGGTCTTTTGGTCTTTTGGCCACTGTGTACCTCTTCCCTCTAGTGTGCTTGGGACTTTCTGGAACGCGGCCTCCTGAAGGACCTGAGCGTGGGGTGCTGCCCTGATGGGTGCCCCTGGCTTGGCTTCTGCCCTGACTCCTCCGGGCCCTGGTCCGGTGCTTGTCACCTGGGGCCGGCCTCGGGCTGTGGCCCCAGGTGGCCGGCCCTCCGGGCTTCACGGGGTCCCCGCCACCCACGAAACATGTCGCATACAGTGCGTATTGGCGCACTTTTCCTATTTCCCAAAAGTGACAAAACTCCCCGACAGGACAAAAACTGTTCCAATGCTTTAGAGAAACCCACACTGAGTCTCGCGTGTGAATCGAACCCGCCGGCTTCCCTGCCGCCACGTATGGGACACAAAGACCGCCCCGGCCGTGCTCGCCCCGTGGGGTGCTCCGGGCAGCGCCCTGGCTCAGCTCCCCCAGAGGCTGCGGGGCTGGGGGGCACCTGGGGCTCGTCCGTGGTGAGTGGTCACCAGCTTGGGAGTCCCTGGTGAGGTTGGCGCGAGCGAGGGGCTGTTCCCAAGACGCGGGGAGTCTTGGTGAAACCCGCTGCCCCGGGCCTCTGAGAAGTCAGGGTTTCTGGTGTCCCAGCTCCGCGGGTGGCACAGAGGAGACCATGAGAATTCCCGCTGCCATTCTAAGGCCTGTCCAGCAGGAGGAAGGCGCTGCCCCTCTAGGGATGACCGGCCACGCAGGTGGACGGGGAGGCGCCGTGAGGGCCGCAGCCCCAGCCCCGGTTTGCAGCCTGTTGCCGGAGCAGCATCTGAGAGGCTGCAGGTTGAGCGCGGGAGCTCTTGGCCAAGATATGCTTTTCCTTTCCTGCCGCTGTGGTTTTTCCTTGCCTTGTGACCCCACAGGGCCGTGGAGCCCAGGAAAGCCTGTCCCCATGGCGGCTGCCACCTCCGGGCCCTTTGCACGCCGGCCGGACTCCAGGGGGCTCTCTGGCACCGCGAGTGCCGCTGCAGTTTCCCTGTACCACTGTGGCATGCCTTGGCGAGGCAGGGGCCTCATGTCCCTCACCACGTGTCCCAGGTGGGGCCTGCCGCTGTCAGCAGCGGGCGGTGTCGTGGCAAACAGGCGGCTGAGGAAAGGGTGTCCAGACAGACCCTTTGGCACGGCAGGGTCCTGCTGTGGGTCCTTTCCTTGTCAGCCCAAGGGAGGCAGGCAGAGTGGCAGGACCCCCTCTGCAGCTCACACCCTGGGGGTGGGGTGCACACCTCCTCCTCACCCTACATGACGGAGGGGCGCCACCACTGTCACCGGCCCCCTGGCGTCTCCGCTGGTCTTCGCGGGCAGGCCGGGCGGGAGGTCACAGTCCTCCCCGGACCCCTGGCCCAAATCTCAGCCCTCTGAAGCGAGTCCCGCTGTTGTAGGGGGTCGGCAGAGCTGTGAAATACTGTTCTCTTCCTTCTGGTCCAGATCTTTCTCAGACTGCGGCAGAGAGCTGGGAGGAGCTCCAGGAGCTCCTCTGCATTTGTGAGTGTTTGAGAGGTGAATGAGGGCTCTGTCACCCAAATCTGCTTCTCAGCCCCACACCATGCTTCCATCTTCAGTTTTGCAGATCTCGACAGTTTTATTTTCTGCAAAGTAGAATGTGTCCACTGGGGTCTAAGTAAGATGAGGTCCATGTGTGGTTCCCGTGCGGGCAGGTGACCTCGTCATCTTGGCTGTCTGCCTGGGGTGGGGCTGGCTGTCACTGGGAGCCAGGGCCCGCGGGGGAAGGGAGCGTCCCAGGGGTGTGTCCCAAATGGAGACTCTTAGTCTGGTCAGAGGAGGCCCTAGTGGCACCTAGCAGTGCTTGCCTTTCACTTCTCCTGTTGCTGCTGTGTCTCGAGTCTCCTGAACTCTCGCGTTGAGAAAGAGGTTCAAGTCCAGGAAGGCTGTACCACTCCTGCCGTTAGTGGCAATTGGTTTTTATAACTCCGTCCCCTAGTAGACAAGTCAGATAACCTCCAACAGCAAACTAAATGAGTTAATTGGTAAACACCAAAGCCGGCATTATTTCCAAGGGTTTCTACAATTACCCCTCTAGAATAACACCTGTGATCCAGGAAGTGTGAGCCCGTGTAGACCATTGTGTCAGGTTTTTAGAACCGCATTCTTTCTCTGATGGCACACCTCTTCGTTCGGTTCTGTTACCCAAAAACAAAGACCAAAGAAGGCCAATCTCTCATTTGACTCTGTATTCTTAATCTGCCTGTTTTAAAAGTTGCCGTCCGTAGTAGCCGCTCGCTGTGAGGACCCATCCTGACCCTCCAAGTGATTGTGACCAGTGATTCACGTCCTGTGTGTCTCCACTCTTCTAAGAAAAAACAACAAAATGACAGTATAAGTTATTGCTCAGCAATAATCATGTTGTTAACGTGAGTCAACAACATGTCTGATTTTCTGATAGCATTATTATGTTTTATATTTTTGTTTACTGTATATCGTGTGTGGTTTTATTTGGTATTTATTTGTGTTTTGAGGTCTTGCGATGTTTTTGTGTTTCTGATGCTAATAACTAAAGTTTGTAAGAGTGTAGAATGCAAAACTTTGAAATGCTAAACTGTCTGATTAGAGGAAAATAAATCTGACTAAGGAGTCTGGGTTTCTTTTTCCGCTGTCTCGCACGGGCGCCTGGCCGTGTGCCCTGGCCTTCCCCTCCCGCGGGTCCTCCCCACCTCTCCTCTCAGAAGTGGGCTCCTTGGCAGCCTCCATGGCCACAGAGCCCGATGCTCATAAGGGCCCACGCTTGGCTTCATGCTCTGCTGTCACAGTCTTAGAACTCTGGATGTTTGAGAAAGGGGTCCCGTGTGCTGGGTTTGCACGAGACCCAGCAGACCACACGGCCTCGCGGCCTCCCCTGCAGGTGGAGCTCTGACCTTGGCAGGTCCCGGAGGCCGGTGCGCCCAGCAGCGGTGCTCTCAAGTCTGCGGCTTGGTCCAAAGCAGACAAATTGGCCCTCGCCCTCCTGCCAGGTCCATGCCCAGGCATC